GAGGCAAAACAAAACAATATGTAATTTAAAAATAGGGCAAGAGAAAATACTGAAACTAACAGAAGGTGATCTTGAGAGCTCTTATTAAAACCTCAATTTAGTGCAATCGATAGGACTTACCATCAATGGGCTCATCCTCGCTGACTTCTTCTTCATCCGAACATTGAGCTTCTTTGTTTTGCTCGGAGGCAGAGTCTGAATCATCAGCTGTATAAATATTATCATCAGTTGATGAAGTACCTGTGAACATGCAAAATTAAGTCAATTAGTGAAAGCCAAAGTATGAGAGTAAAAGCCTTTTTCTGTCAAGAACAAAAAGAAATTTGCAGTTTAAGATTTCTGTTGGAACACCACTGCTAGCAAGAGGTACAACGTCCCTAACCTGGCATATCGCTCCCATGTGGTTGATTTGGTTGTTTTGGTTGAGCAACCACTTCACAAAACTGCAGGTGTTTTCTCAAAGTTTCAAAATTACTTGTTGTTTTGCCACAGCGATTGCATGAATACTGAATGGAAGGGACTGGTTTCCCTCTGTGAACACTCAAAATGTGTTCATGAAGACTGTCCCTGGAGGGATAAGTGCCATGGCAAACAGGGCACTTAAACATTTTAGAAATTTGGCGGGGCCGATGTAGAAAAATTATGAACAACACGTTACATTTCTTCAGCCACAACACTTAAAACTACTTTAAAATCCAGCCCCTCCTTCGCTGTCCATGCCAGCCCAGTGCCAGCCTCAACCAAACTACCGTGATCTCAGAAAACCGGATGCTAACTGCTACCCATCGATCAATCGATCTATCGATCCATCGATTCCATCGACCATGCCTGCTCGGAACACATGTAAAAAGGGGTCAATAAAAGTATTCAGAGCCTAAAAATGTCCCAGAATTACAGAAAAGTCTGATAACTAGATAAATACACTATTTAATGGCAGTAAACCATTCTACTTATGTTACGCAATTCTACCAAATCGAAATAAAACTCGAATATTCATGGCCAACTGCAAGAAAAAAAAGAAGATATTTTCACTTTTAAATTAAAGATTGTCAACGGTTTAGCAACAGAAATATTATCAAATTGAGAAAAAAATCAAAATGTAACAGGGTTTTTCTACCTAACAACGCTTTGAATCCTGCATTCTGCTATAAAAATGATTTACTTTGAAAATTGGGTGCGTTGGCAGCAGTGACAAAAGCGGGAACAGGAAGCTACTGAAACGGTTTCCAGATTTCGACCAGCGAACTTTCAACGAGTACGGCAGTTTGGATCCCTGTTCTCAGAAACTTTAGTTGTGAAAAATGACCGAAGTATTCGTTCATTTGGAGGGTCGAACATTTGTCATCGATATTGAACCTAACACCATTAATGGCTTGAAATGCGAATTTGAATCCCTTTGCAAAGAGGATGAGGTGCTCAAGGCAAGACGACTTCAGTTCGCTCCTACCTACAGTATGTTTCACCGTGGACTCAACGCCAAGGTGGAAATCAAACGGAAATATGAATTTAAAGGTGGTGAAGAGGTATACGTGGCATGGACTCCTCTACAATTTGGTCAGGTAATTTGCTTTGCTTAGTCAGAACCTACAACCATGACAAAGGTCCTCCAACTTGATTGAAAACTTTCACCTAAGGCCCAGGGGGAAGAGGTTAAGAAATAAACGTGAATGTAATACATATCCATAAGGAGTTTAATGAACATTTGTTGTTTTCAGTCTCTACCTGAAAGTGGAAATGATGTCCATACTACTCCGTTAAAAGTAAGTTGTATGGTTTAACACATTTCGAAACAAAACATTATCATTGATTTATTGGTAATACGCATTAATTTTTATTGCAGCAAATCCAAGTGACCTCAAGCCCTCGTGCTTCAGTTGCAAACAAAGTAAGTTTTAATAATGATATGATGGCAATATTAAATTTAAGATATTAAATTTGCTTTAATCTATGTTTTTCAGAATGAATTTAAGATGAATATCATGGAAAGAGAGATCAATAAAGAAAATATTGATCCAAAACTGCCTCTACAAGAAAACACAAGTCCTTTGAGAAAGCCTGATCCCTCAGAGTCCATCAAACATCAGCAAGGGACCCGTAAATCTATTGCACACAGCCCTCCTATGGATCTTGATTATGAGCCATGCTGTTCCAAAACATTACCCTTGACATTACCGGTATGTTAGTTGATTCTATAAGGGTCTTCAGCTTAGCTCAAACAAATTTTCTTGTTATGATTTAGATTCATTACTTTGAAGAAGCCGTTATTCTTTTGCTTGTTTATTTTCAGTTTGAAGAGCATGAATTATCGGATCTGGGGGATGATAGTCATGATGACGATTGGTACGGGGAGGTAAGGGAGTATTATTTGGAAGATGAATGGAAGAAAATGCCAAAAGCATTGAAAGAAAGAGAAAAAAATCGTTTTGAGCTACATGAGCAGCAGATGAAACTTGGTTAGTCCCATTAACTTGAAATGGACTTTAACCTGTTGATGAAATTTAACCATATTAATAACATAAAATTTTTGTTTTGAAGGCCTTACAAAAACACCGTTTCAACCACAAAAAGGAGAAGTAATTAAACCCAATATAAAACACGCTTCAAAACAAAAAAGAACTTCTTCCACTAGGGTAAGGATGCATGCTACACAAGTTTTGTTTTGTTTAACTCAGCCACAACTTTCAATCAAATTTAAATAATTATGTAGGCTCCACCGCCCAAAAGGACCAGCCAAAGGCTTCAGAAGAGGATTGCAGAGGCTGAAAGTTCTGAGTCAATTGATGACCCAATTGGTGAAGCAGGTCCCAGTGGTGCTGGTAAAGCCACAAGTGGAATAGAAAACACTGAAAATTCTGAGCCCAGTGATGATGAAATTATTGAAGGGGGTTCCAGTAATAAGAAAAAGCGGAGGCCTAACACAAAGGTATAACCAAAACTATTTGAAGTTACAAAAATGCTTTAGAGGTGTTTGTTTGACAAAACAAAGTCCATTTCTTTACAGTTGAAGTTTCTGCCAGGCGATGAACTAGTAGGCTCTAAACTCATGCCTAAGTTTAGTGACAGTTCAGTTAGGTCCATTCTAGCTGGAAACCCAAACATGATCTATATTTTAGCTGACATACGCAGTCATATACTATCAAAGCGTCCCGTTCTTTACCTCTCAAACTCAGAAAGGACCAATATGAGCATAGCCATAGTAAAAAAGTATCCTCAATTGGCAGATGTAGATGGCGATGGAACTGGTTCTGTAAGTACTGGCTAATTATTAAGCATTTTAACAACAGTGGCGTAGTTCAAATGTTGCAAACAAATTTGCCAATGCCATACTGGAAGGCATTACTCAGATTCAGATTCAGATACTTTATTTGTCTTTCACATACACATATGTTGACATCGTCAAAATTAATACCTTAAGACTTGTTAAAGTCATATTGGATCAATTAAAATAATAAATAATATAGGGTGAGTATATGTTTGTTTCCTTTCAGACAAGTCTCTCTGGTAGCATTAGTGCATCCATACGAGGCAAAAGAAGCTATGATGCTAATACCAAACCTCGAAGGCAGGCAGCTAAGCTTCAGTCAAAATCAAAAATTACTGGGGACTTCAAAATTGTTTGGTCAGTATTAAACTATGTTTGATGAGTCTTAAACTTTTTTCTGAAAATTATAATTTGATGAGATTTACCTGTTTTATATGTTTGTTTTTTTTTCTCTTCTAGCAGTGAAGATGAATCTGAAGAGGCGGCAATGAATGCAGAGTTGCGTGCTGGGACCTCTGATCAAATACGAGTGAAGTTCTTAATTGGAAGAACATTGGAGATTCGGGAAGTGGAGTTTGATATTGCTTATAAAGCTGCAGACCCTGAAACAAGAGCACAAAAATGTCAAGAAATTTGGGAGAGTTACCCTCACTACAAAGATGGAAAGCTGGTAATTAAAGAAATATGGTCTTAATTAAGGATCCTTGATTCAGTGGATAACTTTTAGTGAGCTTTATCTCTAAGTTACTTTCAATGCTTGAATGTACTATGGACTAATGTAGCATCTGCTATGATTTGTAGATAATTTATGAGCACTGCCTTCATCTCAAGATAAAGCAAGAAGTGATGAGAGACAATTTCAAAAATATGGTCGCCAAACTCAGCACATTTTTCAATATGGGTTGTGACAGTGGGCCCGACATCTTGCGCATTCTAGTAAACCTCTATGAGGAAATCACCCCTAAAGTGCTTATAAGTGTAGACAAAAAAATTACACCACCTATTGACATCAGAGATGTAAGTAAACCACCCAGTGCTCTAAATATAATATACTAGTGGAGCTTTAACAAAAACAAAATTTGTTTTTTAGGAAGGAGAGGCAGAAGGTCGAATGCACACTAAGACATACCATGCTGGACATGCCCCTTGTGTGCTAGCAACCACATTGATAGATGAGCTGGGCGATGAGGTGCTGAGTCGCTCCTACCTGAAAATGTACAGCACTTGCCTTGGCACTATTGAAGATCCAACCCCTTGTGAAATAGTCTTGCAATTACTTGCACCATACTTCATAGGTAACATTAATTTTCCCGATGCCTACAAAAGTTTCCTACGATTTCTTGAAAAGAATGTTCATGGCACTATGTGCATCCAAACTGCAAAACAAAGTGCCCATAGCACCTACACCACTTTTGTGAGAAAATATGACAGTATCAAATAACTTTACTTTATCCTCCTAAGCTGACTACTGAGTGAAAGAAATCAAAAATCTTCAGCTGATGTTGATTTTCTAATAGGATACGAAAGAAAACAAGTTTTTTTTTTTAATCTGTAATTATTTTTTGTAAAACCTTTGGTGATAATTTGATGAAATAATACATTGTATCAAGGTTTTGCTGTTGTTAACTTAAAGATTATTTTAATCTCTCTTCCCTGTCACTGTTTTCTGTAAAAGCTTTGATAACAATTTGATGAACTCATACATGGTATCAAGGTTTTGCTGTTGTCAACTGACAGTCTTTTTTTTTAAATCTGTTCCCTAACCCAAAACAATCTACTGAACACAATCACAAAACAGTTTACATTGTTATGAATTTGGTTACAATCTAATAAATATGAACCAGGGCAGGACGGTTTACCCAAGGTCCAGCAGAGATCTTGATTAAGAATGGTGACAGAAATGTAGTTCTGCAACTAGTCTCGAAGGGCAGGGTGACAGCAACAGCGGAACCTGGAATCACAGAGTTAGAAAAGCCAAATGACCATACAAACTCAACTGTTTTAACAAAACAGATACCAGCACAAAATTCTGAAGAATGCATTGAATTTTAATGAGCATTGGAAGAAAAAGTACATATAATCAAAATGTAGGAGAGCATTTACTCGCAGTTTGAAAATTGATAGTAACAAACAATTTTATTACCTACATGGAGGGCGCAGTTTCTCACTTATTTACAGAGTGACTGTAAGGTGTCCTGATCAGTAGGCTGAAGCTGTTCTTAGCAGAAGACCATTCAATTACGAACAGTTGACTTCTCACCTTTCACCCTGGAAATGCACAAAACAAAGTCATTAGACTTACATGTACAGAAATTGCAATGTTTCATGGCCAGTGAATCTCTAAATTTGAGAAAGGATACTTTTCTTAAACAAACAGTGATAATTTTATGAGTGTTTTGAGTCATCTTTCAAACCTGAACTAACTTCAAGTTCCAAAGTGGATTGCTTTCAGAGTAAGCTCTGAATTAAACTTCGGTAATTTCTCAGTCAGATGCCTGAGCTCAGTGACACCACAAAGATAATAAAGATTTGAAAGTACACTTCAATATCTTTCTAAGAACATAGTCCACATTGGTCTCTTACCAAATACCTATTAGTTGAACAAAAACTTCAGTCCTGCATGGCGGTCTGGACACTTGGGCTCCATGCTGCTCACAGGACGAGCGGCTGCTCGTCCAATCCAAAACCATCGTCCGTGGGAATCCCTCAGCGACAAACTCTCCTGAAGGATGGGAAAAGAATCCTGACTCCCTTTCACCCTAAACAAAATATGTCAGTTATCAGAAAAGCAAAGCAAAACATACCTAATAGAAAAGGGCAAGTATGCTCTCAATTAGTAGAAGGGTTAGGCACTGGTCGAAATCAACACAAAACTGAATGATAAATTGATGGCAGCACTAACATGGCTTCACGAAACAGAACGAGAGCCCAAGGAGAGTTGAGTAATGCAATACCCAGCCACGAAATGCGACAGCTCGATTTATATTTTCGAAAATAGTAAAATAAACAAACGGCTACCTGTTTGCAGTCGAACTCTTGCGGCGCAAAACAGAACCCATATGTGCACGACGACGATCTTATTCGCACTATCGTGGGTCGTCTGCCCTCTGTGCAGGTGCAGCTGTAAACAGTTTAACTCAAGATGGATTGAGTGAGTGACAGCGCCGCGTTCAACCAGCATTTAGGCTTTTCTTTTTTCTCAAATTCGGCAGTTCCAAGCAGATTGGCATTTTCATGGAACAAGTGCGTTCTCAGGTATTTTGGTGAAGTGTCAAAGTCATGTCTTGAAGCTCTTGCCAATCCTTTCCACCCAAGAACAGCAACAAGTTAGTCTTTTACTTGTCTTTTAAGTGTTGAGTGAGGATCATATGGTGACAGTAAACATAAGGTATGTCAACAATCCAGCATCAGTGACCCAGACCTATAAGCCTTTCATCACTCAAAGCTTAGAGCTAATGGTCAACTACTTTATTTAGATCTTTAAAGAGCCAAATGCCCAAAGCCATTACACCCGTTAGTGCCCTATAATTTCATATTTTGTTTTTATACGCATCCAAACTTTGCTGAGGTTTATCAGCTATGATGATGATTGAACAAGACACATTGTATATACCTGAATAGCTTAACAATTTAAGAATTGGGTGATCGGTTAGGTTTATAGTCTGTATGTGGATCGCTTTGCTATGCGATTCTTCAAGCTGCCTGCGTAGTCTTTATTTTCATTGCATTTTTGTGCGGTACAAAGTTTCATCGCTAAATTTTGTTGTATGTATCGCAAAGCAGAATTCAATCGCAAAGTTTTGTTGTGCTCATTGCAATAAGTTGCGATGAAAATTGTATCGCTCAAAAAGTGAGGTGATCATCGCAACTCAGATATCAGTGTACACACTAAATGTCATGGGACGTTTTTGGTCCCACGAGTTATGCAATTTTAAGCACATCCGACGGTGATACAATTTTGTTCCCGCCTGGTGACACAAGTGCGGTGGCGGCGTAGCGGATTGGCAGCGCGTGGGGTATCGCCGCCGCGCGCATGGGCTCGCTGGGCCGGCTGGCTGGCTACACTGAAAAAAATGTTTAGTAATGGTCACCAAACCGATGGTAACTTTTACTATACCGTATAGTAACTTTTCGACAGCTGGAATTAATAGTGAATGTTACTATACAGCCGTTTAGTGTAAGCCACTAAAAATTAACAGTGTATTCTACTATGCCGTATAGTAAACCGCACTACCGTATAGTACGGATACCGACCAATCAAAATGCGAGCGGCTGCCGCCGCAGGACCTCTCCCCTCCCCACCTCATGATCTGCCCTTCGCGGTGGAGCCGAATGGTCTTGAATTGCCACTTACACCTCTGCTGCGACCCGGGATTGAACCCGCGCCGTCGGCACACCGAGCCGATGCCGTACCACTCGGCCACCCTCGCCCGGGAGGGCCATCGCCTGCAGAGAGCGAACGCCCGCAAGGCAGCAGCGCGCCGATCGGCAGGAGTGGGAGGGGTGGGGGTGGCCGCGCGGCGGGTCTCAGCGGGGGGATGTGGCAAGGGGAGGGGCAGGTGACAACACCGGTGTAGTTGCATTTACTATACAGCAGTGGGAGCCACCAAAGAACGCTTACCAAAGCGTATAGTAACTTTTACGATAAGCGTTTCGTAACGCGCACTGAACTTGAAGTGCCATGCACTATTAATGGGCTTACTATACGCGTATAGTAACATTCACTAAAGTACTTTTTTCAGTGTAACCAGAGCGTGGGGTCTCTCCGTGGTGAATAATTGTGGATTCTGACTAAGTGCATGGACAGGGGGCGGAGGGCTGCAAAGCCGTATCACCACATTACGCATGCTACTACGCTGACTATTCTGCTTTAATACGCATTAATACGCTTAAAAATACGCGTTACTACGGAGCAACACGGGAGTGAAAATCCCCTCGGTTGTGCCCTTTACTCTTGAGTTGTGGGCTTAAGTGCGGGCGGTGTTAATCATGCATTGTTTGCAAGAAATTCTGCAGTGAAAGGCAGCACCCAGTTGAACCCACCCTGCAAAACGCTTCACTGACTGTCCTGTTGTGTCCCGCAGAACTGCCCGGGTCCGGGGCCGACCTTCTAATGGGCTGTGCCGATCCTACGGCTACGTGCACCTTGCTTCTGCGGCGCGGCGCAGGTGGGGTAGCGTGGCAGGGGACTGTTCGGCCCGCGGACAACGCAGAAGCCACATTGCTGCTTTGCCAGTTGGCGCGGAAAGGAGAGCTTCAGAGAAGTGATCCCTGACAAGATTCAGGTGTCTGTCAGAAAGAAATTGTAGTAATTTTAGTTTTAGCTGGCCTTAAATATTTTAAATGTCAGTTTGTGGTTTGAATCCCTGCTTTTTTGAATTTTATATGAGTTTTCAGAAAGCCTTTATCTTCACTTGTTCTTTGGTGATCGTGCTCGAATGTAAAGTAATCATTTCAATCAAGTTTGACCAAATTTCCTCTAGTAGCCGCTTGACCTAAATGTTTGGACAATGATTTATTGATAATTGCATGTGAAGTTTCAACAGTATATTATTAGTCAACTTCTGAAATATAACAACTGAGGATGGTCAAGAAATAATGATAATTTGCAGATGATCTACCATAATTTATGGAACAAGTTATATTTTTTGCAAGTTGCCAAAACTGTGTGCATTGATACCCTTAATCTACTATATATATATTCTATACTTATTGTGTGTCTTTATTATTATCAAATGTCTATCAGTGTACTTGTTATAAGGTCAATCATGCCATGTTTAATTGTGTTTCAAAGTTGCCAATTCATGTTTGAAACTACTTGACCATCCCCTTCCATTAAGCTGTAAATCTAAAGTCAATTTGAAAAAAAAAAAATGAAATTAATAAATTAGTACACACTGTATCCACTTACTCAAAGAAAACCGGTCGTTTCCGTCCTCATTTCGGAGATAACTAAAATAATGTTCAGTTCAGTTCATTTTATTGGGTCACATAGTGAGCAAGTCAAAACACAGGTGGGCGATTCCGCGCGTAGAGGGCGTTTTCGTGTCCACACCCTCCCCAGAGAAAACTAAAAAGAGTGAAGTCCATTTCGGCACTCATAAATCTTGTTTGGCACTAGACTAGCTTGACCCCATTGTACATGGAGTTTAAAAGTATTTTTCTGACTCAGGAGGGAGGCAAAAAGGGTCGTTTTTGTAATTTCCGTCATGTCCATTCACACCTTACACGAACTTTGCGGCTCTGTAACTTTTTGTTCGATTAATCTTTTTTAATTCTAATCACACCCATCGAAACTCTCTAGTATAGTTACTAACTTGCTAAAGTTTCATAATTTTATGTCGACTAAAAGTCTCCTTTGGGAACCCGCACAAAATGTCCACCGCACTCCGACTTTTACCTTAGTGGTTTCAAATCTTCCACCAAAAACACTACTAAGAGTGGTCTCCACCCAAAACCACTGCCATTTCTGGAATCGGCTTGGTCCCTTTACCCTGTGAACGAATCTTCATGGTTAAAAAACCAGGGAGGTGGGCGTGCGAGTGGAAGTTGTGTTAGTTTGAAAGCGGTGGGTTGTAACAATTGATGTAATTTCCGTATGTCCCTACCGTGCCTCTCCCATTCTATTTAAAAATTCAGCCTATGCGTGAAAAGACGTGTCATGACGTCGTACTTGTGTGCCAGCTGGGGGTGGATGCCATGAACTCTGACCAGCGACCCCTCTTCACATCATACCCCAAGAGCCCCCCAGTATAAAATCAATAACCGAATGCTGTTTCGACTTGCAATCACGTCGATATGTATGCCGATGTGAAGTTCTAAAAGCCTGCCGAAGGCAAGCGAGCGCCGCCGCAGGCCAAGGTGGGTGTAACGCCAGGCGTGGATTGTCGTAACTGGCGCAGCATCGCGAAGCCTGTTACGACGAGACACGGTCTGGCGTACACCTACCTTGTAAAATAGAGACGTTTCGGAAAGCTCTTAAACTGATGCACTCAAACAGGTCTGTGAGGTTAAGCTGCCGGCTCCATTACCAGTTTCGTGATTCTCCTTGTTCTTCAGTCGACGACGACTAGAATAGTCTATTTTCTTATTCTTTTGAAATATACGTACTCTCATCCTTCATGTGATAAGTGTGACGTTACGCTGGCTCTGACAACCCGTCCCCTCCGCGGACCAGATCCCTCTTCCCGCTTTAGTGGGTAACGTATTTAATGAAGGGCCCCATACCGCGCCAGCACCTCTAAGATCTGCGTTTTTAGAATTGAACTCATCTCAGTTTTCACTGTCCAACGTTGTGAACGCACCCATTGTTTACGAGAGGATCCTGCCTAAAGGCAATAGGGATTGTGCCTAAAAAAAATACGTCAGGCATTGTTTTTTGTTTTTCTTGGGAGGGGGTTGTGACGCTGAGGGGGGTGGGCGTGTCGAGTCATGTGATGCAGTCCCAGGCAACTGGCATAGGCATTTCCGGTTTCTTATTGGAGGCATTCTGGTATCTTGCCAACCTAACTTTGTAAAGGCTGCCAACTTATTTTGAAGTTTTGATATTTGACTGGATCAAGAACGAGTCCCGACTCACCCTGGTGCCGTAGCCACATGGATAGCGTGGTGCCTTGCTGGTCTCGATGATGAAGGTTCAACGCTTCCTATGGGAAAATTATATTTTGAGTTTAATATGTCTTCATTTGGCAACCCTAAAAATCAACTGAAAATTACTACTTTGCATGCAGAAGTTGGCAGTATCGGGGAAAGTCAAACTAAGAGTCTCGCTCTCAACAAGGGAGTTTGCTGGGCCTGTTGTGATGTATTTTCAAAACTTCAGGCTTTTTTTCACGTCATTTTACGAAAACTTTAAAATTGGAACGTTCTTTCGCATTTTGCTCTGTTTTACGCTGGCGCTTCATAAGTAAGTCACAAGCGGGGGAGGGGGCTCAGCCCGATGTGACAAAGTTGTGACAAGGAAGGGGTGGTGGGGTCAAAATTGACCGAAAACGGGTGACGAATTTTTTGCACAGCCGAGAAAGTCTCATTTAGTGATGTGTCCATTCCCGGGTTAAAAGAAAGTTTCTTAGTTATTCAGAGAACTGCCTACGTATAGCATAGACAGAAGCCCAGTTTTTCACATGTGAAATCTCAGCAGTATAAGTGTACGTTTTACCATGCCCAGGGCTCCTTTCCTCACCGGCTTGGTCATCTCTTCTCCTCGTGAAGCTCCTGCTGTCCAGGATGGCCGCCGCACCGTCGGACCGTGAGGCTGTTGTCAACGGCTCTTCTGAAGAGGTAAGATTGGGCACTGTGGAGAAGATGTCGTTTTAGAAGTTTCTCTTGAAATTTTCAGGACTTGTTGTCTCAAGATTATCATGACAATAGCCAACGAATTAAAAGGGACGCATCGAAGCCGAATTAAGGCAGTTTTAGTGTTTGGATTGCCAAAGACGCTTCTCTGAATATTTGAGAAGAATGGTTTTTAGACACAGTTTTAAGATTTCTCGCGAGTTGAGTGGAGTTGCGGGCCAAGCATGCATTTGTTAGTGTCTACCTACTTGCCAGTATGCATTCGGAAGAGTGTACTTGCCAGTATGCATCTGTAAGTGTGCACTAAGTAGACGATTAGGTGTGTCATGTGTGTACACTTTGCAAACACATACAAAGTCTGAGAACCAAGGGAGGTTGTTACTCTGGACCTGTCCTGCCTTCGCAGGAGTGCGAGCGCTGCGTAGTGTGCCTGGCCAGGGCAGAGGCCTCCAGCGGCGGGCTGAGCTGCAGCCGCTGCCAGGACGAGTTCTACTGCGGCGTTGAGCACCGCGACGAACACCGTGCCGTCCACAAGAAGGTGTGCTTCCAGCCCAGAGGCCTCAAGGTCGTAAATGTAAGTGCCCAAAAACTTATTTTATTTAAAAAAAAAACAGTCTTAGGATGCAGCAATCCCGAAACCCAAGGGTCATTTTGAAGGTCCTGACTGGTACCAAATACCAGACTGTCTGATAAAATAAACCTAACTAGAATTCTGGTAAAAAAATACTGCACTGTCTACTTAGTCTCACAGTCTAGTAATACTTACCAGATTAGTAAACCTAACAATGCCGCCAGCTCTCTTTGTTGTAAGTTTTACCAAACATCCTAGTAGTTAGTTCATATGTTTAAAGAACTTAAGCAAAAAGTCCAAAATATATTTTTTTTTTGGATCATTCATACCTACTGATGAGGCGAATTCGTTTTCTTTGTCGCACCACCCCTCAATTTAGTTTTTCCTTCCTCCTCCCCGGACTTGAACCGGGACTTTACGATTAAGAGACGGGCACGTTACCGCTGTGCCACCACTTCGCCTGTGGGTCGAGGATATCTCCACTAGGGCTCGGAAAGTTACTGGTAGTTACTAGTTACAGTAACGGCACTAGTTCAGCGGTTCCCAACCTTTTTCAGCCCGCGACCCCAAAACGGATTCCAAATTTTTACGCGACCCCAGGAACAAAATTACGCGACCCCACGCGACCCCATCCCTTTTTTTAGGGGGGGGGTAGAGATTTTTTCGAAAATAACTTGTTACAATTTGAATTTTGATCCAATTTATAGGGTTTGAGTGCATTTAAAATAGAGGGTCGTAATTTGTAATGAAACATCCTATTTTTCAAATGCTGTGTTAATTTTGACACCCAAGCTTTGTACTCTTTTGTGCCGCCCGCGCGGTGGCTTTCAAACACCTTGGGGCCTACTACGTTTAACATTGGCGATTGCCTCCACTTGGGACGCATGAACATATAGCATTTGAGGATTCGCGGACGGAAATAAAATAGAACATGGTGGGCAACGAGCAATCCACGCTCCAGGTATCGGAAGACTAGGGAGACTAGTTAATCCCCTCCCCTCCGCAGGGTTTCACATGAACCTGTACAGTATTCTATGCGTCTGCCTTGTCTTGGAAGCGCCGAAAAGGCCAAACATCCGTCGGTTTTCCCGTAATCCCGCACCAGCGGTTTCGCCGCAGACCGACCCTCAGGAGCCAACTCGCGACCCCACGCGACCCCAGGAAGCATGACGCGACCCCACAAAATTTTTCCGCGACCCCAAATGGGGTCGCGACCCCGGGGTTGGGAACCACTGCACTAGTTACTTTCTTGAGCACTGATACTACTGACTCTACTTTACTCAGGCTCGGTAACTGTAACCGTCCTAGTTACAATTTTATCGGTAAAGTACTAGTGGTTCGTTACGTAGTTACATTTCGCTTGCCGGCGCCACCATTTTTCCATTTTTTTCTCGCGGCACACGTGACGCAAACCTCGGCGCCGACGAGATGTCCACCATTTGCACATCTCTAATCCACTCTTTCCATCAACAAAGTTTTACATCGTGCACGCAGTTGTGTGGTGCAGTCACCTCTCGCTAGCTGGCACGGCACCCGGGAGGCGACGTGGTCAGCAAGCGAGAGGCCGGGCAGGTGGGCCAGGCCCAGCCGGGACCGGGGGTCTGGCCGGCCGGCGAGGGATTACCGGCGGCTTAATCCGATTGCTTGTGCTTTGTTCAAGAAGAAATTTTAGAACTTTTTAGGCACGAAGTAGCCTTATAGTATACCCCCAGGATTCAGCCGGCCCGAGATTTGATTTGTATGGCCCTTTATGCATTTCCGAAATTTTCTATACGATTTTAATGAGGTTTTGCAGACTTGTAGAATTTGGAACGCTGATTCTTATGCTGAAATGTGGTCAAAAAGTTAGCGGCCAATTTTGAGAAATTTGCTGTCAAAATCGCCGTTTCCATGGCAAAACTCGACTCGTCAAGGGAAAAGAAAGGGAGTGGGGGGAGTTGAGCCGGGGCGGACCAATAGCCGAGCCTCGTTTTGGGTCTGTACAGGTTACTCCAAAAGCTGAAAGAGCACGTCCGATCTGAAAAATCTCTTTGACTGCAGCTAAAGAAGAGGCAACAATAGAATTGGTGTCGTTTCGAACGCAGTTTTTCGGGAAAAACTACCCAATAATACTTCTAGGTCGGAGTGTTTTTGGACATGCGCAGTGGAGTTGCAACCTGTTTAACAGTTTCACCAACTGTAGCATTTGAAATCTGTATTAATTTTGCTCTCTTTCTTGTTTTTTCTTTGTTTCCTGCTTATGAAAATTCATATAAAACAAATTTTCAATTTTATGTAATAACTATCTAAAAACATATTCACAAAAAATTTGCAAAACAAAAGTTCTTTTTTTCTGACATAAAGTTTCTCAAATATTACTTTTTTTTCTGTCAATAAAACAATTTTGTTGTTTGTGATTCAGTTAGCACTACGACCACTTCGCTCCACCTCGCGACTTGCAGTGCTCATGTTCCTCGAACAAGACTCACCCGCGTTTCGAAACCATCCCTCCCGAGTTTGTGAAGTTTGTCAAACCAACCGTCGTGGTGTTGATACGTTGTGAGGGAGAACTATTACACAGAATTGAAGAAAACATGACTAGAGAACCATAGCCTTTTGAAACAAGCCAAACAATTCAACGTCAGCAACAATGGAGGGGCAGTTTTAATGCGCGACTACTGGTGCTTTCAGCTTCGCGATTTTCGCAAGGGCGCAGACGCCGAGAAACTAGTTGCCAACCCGTGAAAGTTAATTTACTGCCTTCTTTCTGCTAAGAACATTTTAATAATGATGGACTTTAAAGATGTTCCATTGTCAGAACACTGCGGAATACATTAGCATTGGAATTTTTTGAATTTACCAGCATTTTGATTTCTATTTACTGTGAAGTTTAAATTTCGACGGGTGGCACATCGACCACATTGGTACCACTGCCATTGGTAGTCTCCTGAGCCACAACTTCACAACACCACTTCTTTTTTTTCTCCACACTCTTACACAAATCAAATTGACTTCGTGACTCCTAGGATTTCTTGAAATCGTATTTTTCTGTATATTTTTCCAACAATCTTGTAAAAGAAATGCATAGATGATTCTAAAACAACCAGGATGGAAAAAAAACGCACCTCAAAATTCGAATTTTCACCATGACGGTCGGCATAACTTACCCCACCGTCCGTCGAAAATAAAAGTAAAAATTCGAATTTGCATTTCTCTTAAAAGATTGTTAGAAAAATAAACAGTAAAAGTTTTAATATTTCGACTGGAATATACCACAGGCAAGCGGATTAAGCCACCGGTCATCCCTCGCCGGCCGGCCAGACCCTCGTCCCGGCTGGGCCTGGCCGCGCTGGAAGAGCCGAGGTGGTGGGGATGACTCCGTGCCAGCTAGCGAGTAATCAAACCGTGCCAGCTAGCGAGAGGTGACTGGTAACCGAGTGTTGTGACCCACAGGGCAAGGCGGTGTGCTCGGTGTGCGGCGGCAAGGGGTTGCTGTGCGCCCGCTGCGGCCTGGCCGCCTACTGCAGCAAGGAGCACCAGAAGGAGGACTGGCCGCTGCACAAGAAAAGCTGCAAGAAGCCCTCCGTGGACACCGCCAACATCAATCCCAAGAAGGAGGACGATGAACAGGTGTGTCTTTGCAGCTATCATGCGATATTCTGGTCGTGCGCACTGGAAATGCAGCAGGGCGACATCACACCAAACGAATGCTCAAAATGGCATGAGCGTTGTGTCATATCCGCTTGATCTTGACTTGGCTGCATTTTGGCCTATTCATTCATGAATAGGGTAAGTTGCTTTACATGGATCAGGGTACCACACTGAGAAAACAAACGTGGTCAATTCCGCACGAGGTGGTGCGGTCAAATGTTCTGAAGATTTGACCACGTTTCATGATGCGGTCATCGCACTTCGAAGCGCAAACGTGCTCAAGCTTATCGATGCCCTATCCTTTAACATGGCGCAGACGTGGTGGATTCCGCGTTTGGTGATGCGGAGACGAGAATGACCTCCGCCGCGTCACCAAACGTGGTCAAGTCCGTGTCCGCACCACACGTGCGGAATTGGCCGCGTTTCTTTTCTCAGTGCAATCACGGATCATTTCTGTTGGCGAGCCCGTAGTACGATGGTGATCCATGTTTTGGTCAAATCCTAACATCGATCAGTGAAATTTTAAAGCCCTGGCAATTTCAACCTGTTTGTTATTTAATATTCAATTCTTGAGAGTAGGTTGTCTTGAATATCTCGAAGTGTATCGATGAAAATTTAGACAAGCATTAGTGTGTGCGATGTGCACTCTGGAAAGTCTACGAAGCATCACGAAAGTAATGAAGGCATTGTAGAATTGCTTCGTATTATGAAAAAATGTTTCATATTACGAAGGACTTTCCTTCACAGTACGAAGCATTTCTTCCTAGATTTTACAATGCCATCGATGTCTTTATATGACGAAGCGACGCTTCGTATACTTTTTCTCCGTGTACTCCTTCTGCGGTAGTTGTTTTCCCCTCGATTCTGACGCTCGGCACCTGGCAGGCGCTGGGTCTGGCCACGCTCCCCAAGGAGCTGCTGCTGACGGTGTGCGCGCTGCTAGGCCCCTACGACCTGGTGCGGCTGGGCCAAGTGAATCGCGCGCTGCGCGTCGTGGCGCGCGACCCCGCCGCCTGGCAGCACGTCACCTTCCCGGAGAGGAAGCCCACGGCGGACGCGGCCGTGGAGAGGGCGGGCCACTCCACGATGGCCATGCTGGACCGCAGTGACGCCATCACCAGGTAAGGCCATACCGTATTCTTAAGGGGGTGCATACACCTTAAATCTGATGTGTATTATCATCTCTGCAACACCTGTGCTTTCTAGAATTTCAATTTTTCCTTCTTCATCCCAATTTTGTAATAGTAACCTTTGTTTTGAAAAAAACAAAAAGGTTGTTCTATGCCAAAAATTACCAAAGTGGAGGTGTCATTCAAATTTTTTACTAACCGAAGAGTCCAACTGAAAGTTATTGTCCCACACCTTCCATAAAATTCAAGGATGTTCATGAGGATGTTCATGGCACCCACCACAATCACAATGATGGCGTAATTTGAACTTTCCTAAGAAAGCAAAAATTCCAAAAAAAACTTGCCAAATTTGGCCGTTTTACAGCCTTTAGCTTCTTGAAACAGAATTACAATCAAATCAGCTTTCTTACAGTGCTTGGTCCCATTCATTTTGTCAAAATAAATACACTGGTATTTTTTTAGAAGGTAAGAAGACATCAACTTCCATCTGAATTGATCGGAACGACAACCCAACTTAGGTAATTTTGGTTACCGGTAGAGAACAATTTATTTTGCTCGAACTATTAGAAAATTGGGTGCCGAAACGAAATCATTAAATTTTAGATAGTACAGTCGCTACAGACCTTATAACACACAAAAGATTGAAGGTGTATGCACCCCCTTAGAACTTTGCGAAGAACGCGTTCGCATGACAGACCATTCAGCTTGTAGCCTGTGAAGAAAAGGGAGCTCCAAAGGAACTCTGGCGCGGTAAGAGAAGAACATAAACGGAAGTCAGAAATGACAGTTTGTATGAGAAATGTGCGCTGTGAAGCTCCAGACCTTCGAGTCCTAAAGGCCCCTTGGGGAGAACCGCGTCCTGACTTCTGACCGATTCGGTGCTCATACTGGCGAGGAAAATGTCCGCCGTGCATTGCCGCTTCCGGCGTGGGTTTTTCCAAAATTCGGCAATAAGCCTCAGAACGACTAAACTGTTTACATTCGAAATTCAAGGGATCTTCAATTAACTATTTTAGAGAGGTGAGGGAGGAAGTTTTTTAGGTCTGTTCGAAGTGGTGCCAAGTCCCTTGATCTTCCGAGCCGAGGCCCCGGGCAGACGACACAACATCAAAACAAAGCATCGATGACTGGCGAGGAAAATGTCTGCCTTGCCGCTTCCGGCGTGGAATTCTAAAATTCAGCAATGAGCCTCAGAACGACTAAACTGTTTACATCTGACATTCAAGGGATCTTTGATTAACCATTTTAGGGAGGTGAGGAGGTTTTTAGGCCTGTTCGAAGTACTGACAAGTCCCTTGACCTCATGCGGCCTCTAGCAGACGACACAACATAAAACAAAGATACGCCATTTTGATCGCCAGTATATGATGGATCGCGCATAACATTTGAGGTGTATGAGAAATAAAACGTAACACTTGTCAAGTTCGCAGCTCTCCCCCCAGAGGGGGACTATAGGACTACCAGACCTCATCCACCGCCGCGTATATTTCTCATAGAATCTGTAATTTACTTCCATCTTTGTTCTTCTTCCGGGCCAGGGCTTTAGAATGGGGGTTCGAAGGCAAAGCTCAGCGCTGCCTGGCCAGGCGAGGTGGCCACGGCCACCATTGGAACTACAAATGAGTTGTGCCTTTTGAGCGGCAAGTTTTAACTGGGTTGTGTTTATCTCAAATTTTATCGGAAAAATGGGGAAATGATTAGAAAATCCTGATCCCATTTACACCAGTGAAGTGCATTTCTTTTTGCGAAGCGTTACTCTTTCAAAGGTAATTTGTCCTATTTTAAATCCCTTTTGGCAGAGGAAAGAAGGGTATTTGTCAACATTCTTCCCTGAAACCCGACTCCCGATACGCTCCATTTCCAGTTTTGCGCTTCTTTGTGTTCTTCAGTCGGCAACAACTATTCAATCTAACAGGGGGTGCCACTTTGCGGGGACATTAAAAGGGTAGCTCTGCATTACCAACTAAATAACGGAGTATCGCCTCAATTGGGGGAGGGCGGGGAGAGCAGGTGGGGAATGGCCAATGGCTTTAGCAATGAATGCACGAGTCGCTGGCTCTCAGACACTGTTCACATTAATGCACGTGTCGCTGGCTCCTCTTCGGACACTGTAAGCATGAATGCACGTGTCCCTGGCTCCCCTCCAGACACTGTAAGCATGCTCTGCACCCAGGGCCCTCGGCCGGGACGCGGGGTACGGCGTGCTGCGCGTGGCACCGGCCCTGGGCACGCTGCGCATCATCCACTCGTGGCCGCCCGTCAACCTGCTGCGCTACACGCACCGCGTGCGCGTCCTGGAGCTGGAGTGGATGGAGGTCGCCGGCCCGTACGGCTACGGCGCGGACAAGCTGCGCCGCGTGCTGGAGCACTACCGCGGCCACCTTCAGGTGAGATCAGTAACGCACAGTGCACAGTGGTCCAGAAGACCGGCGCAGGCGGACAAAACTCTAGACGCGTTTTTGGCTCCAGAGTCCCTGAACTGGATTCGAACCGCACGTATGACCCCACCAATGGATTGCTCTCCGAACGAGGAATCCATTGGTGGGGTCATACGTTCGGTTCGAATCCAGTTCAGCGACTCTGGAGGCAAAACCGCGTCTAGAGTTTTGTCCACCTGCGCCGGTCTTCTGGACCAGGGGAGAGTGGGGCACATTGGTCCATGGGGCACATTGGTCCATTTCAAAGTTCGCGATGATAGAGCGACCACAGCACCACCATCCGGGGTGTGAAAAGAGACTCGCAACTCCACGATCGTTTTTCGAAAAACTCCGACGAAATTTAGCAGCTGCCGGCCTGATGACGAGAGGCCGAAATTTGAGGTTTCCAAAATCAGGCAAAAGTAAATTGTTCCAAGTACAAAACCATCTCATTTGGTGGCATACAACATCATGTTTTAGCCTCGCCAACAATTTCATGGGAAAGCTTATTTATTCAGCTTAAAATTGAACCTGGTGTTGAATGGGTTCAGAGCAACTATGTGTGTTTTAGAGGCATCCTAATTAATTTACTACACTCGGGGCAGTTTGGACCACTTTTTGATGGGGCACATTAGGCCAATATAATAGCACCCCTTAAAAATGCAAACTTTCAATTTTTTTCAACGTGACGTAATACATCGGGGTTATGTTTTGGTATCTCTGAAAGTTTGTTAACGGATTTTCCCTTTCTAAAACTGAAATTCATTGTTTTGATGAAAAAAGTTTTGATTTGTTTTGATGCTTTCATCAAAAACATCAAAACGAGAAAGATCATTATTTCTTTTACAGTTTTGTATCACATTTTGAACACAAAACACATCTATGAGTGGTGCGCATAAATTGTAGACAATTTATAGCAACTTTTCCCCCCCATTGGACCAATGTGCCCCATAGATCGGACCAACAACGTGCCCCGACCCGGGGCACATTGGTCAACTTGCAGGCCTCTCGGGCTTCCTGCTTTTCTCAGCCTTCATCCTCGGAAATGTGTCGCGGCCGGTTTTCTGAGGTAAAGTAAAGTCCAAACTAAGACTTGGCTTAAAAGTTATTTTTTTTGCTCGTCACGTGCGTCGTTGGGAGCCAAGAGAAAAAAACCGGACCAATGTGCCCCACTCTCCCCCACTGTGCAGTGGAATTTACTACACTGCTTTTCCAAGTGTGGAAGTCCACGCTTTAAGGCGTGGACCATTTTTATGGATACACACTGATAATAACACGGAATAAATGTATTTCTGTGCTTGCAAAATGGTTCACTCTTGGATTAGCAGTGTAGACGTTAGGGAGAGGGGGCACGTAGTGACACGCGGCTAGTAGTGAAAGTTCGTGTTTCGTACTGTTTCCGCGTGACTTCTGCACTCCTAATAATTTATGAGCTTTGTTTCAAGTCCAGAACGATGTTTTGAGAAGGCAGTGTGGCAGTGGGAAGATAGGGAAGAGCGGCATTTAATTGTTTCAAAATTCAGACCCTTCAAAAACGATGTAAAACGTTTAGTTTCCTAACGTCTTTGAAGCGCTGTAGCATGTCTTTTAGATTTGGCGTGAGAATACTCAGTAAACATTCACACTTGAAAGTATTTCATAACTGTTTTGTGATGTTCAGGGAGGGATTTTATCATAGGAAATGGCTAGTGTCACTATGATTTCTCAAAGCTGTCACTATTTACCCCAGGGTGGGGCAAATAGTGAGTTGCAATGTTTACTATTACAGCTTTTTGGAAGGGTTTTGTGTTACTCAGGCTACTGGAATGATACCTTTTCATTCTAAAGTAATACCATACTTTAGTTTTATTTTCAAAGAATGAGCAAATATCCATTAAGATGCCTGCAGGACCAAAAAGAAATAATCTGTTATTATGTGCCCCCTCTCCCTTACGGCTGGACGTGAGAAATCGAAGGGCTTGACCACGCTTGAGACGCTTTCCACTACGGTAAATTTTGAATGTTGTGGCTGTTAACATGGATGCCACTGTTCGCTGCACCCCGAAAGATGGTTTCCTCCGCACCAACAAAGTTAACAGCCACAACCTGATTACTTCTCGCAGTGTAGGACGCTTTTAGTTTTGCGGTAATTGCTGCGATCCATTTTAAACTTTTTGGGTCAAATCGTTATGACAAAGTGATTTCAGAGGGCGCACACATGATCCAGGAAGCAGAAGAAGAGAATAACTTGACTTATCTCTA